GCGACAGCCGGGACCACATACATGCATTTGTTTGGTATGGACCACGCGCATCTCCAGATCATCCACCTCGTCCCAGTAGTTTGGGCTATCTGGCTTTGGAGGACGACTATAACCAACCTCGGGGTCGGTTGGCATCACTTTGATTGCCTCTTCCGTTGCAATCTTTGGATGATGCGCTCGGAAATTAGCCTTGATATACATCCGTAGTTTTTCCCGAAACTCGGGCTGCCTGAGCAGCTCGCGCATTTCGTCTGGCGTTGGTGCATCCTCGAGCCACAGCAAGATATGCAGATGCAATGTACCACGCCCCTGACATTCCACTGTCCCAAAGTATGCCCGTATGTAACCAAAGACTCCCTTCTTCGTTTTCACGCGTCGCTGAGACACTTTGACACCAATCAATGTCTCTAGGATGGTTTTAATCATAAAGTGGAAGAATTTAGCTGCAGCGAAGCCATCAGCAGCTATATTCCTTGCTCGTTTCTGCTTGTCTGGACCCGCCGTTTTGAGGAATGCGTCGAGATCAATGTCTTCCCCCACGAACAGTTGCGCGATTGGATCATGAAGATCATCTGGATTAATGGTAAGCCAGATACTCAGTGGCCCATAGTACGTCGATGTTGACCAGATTTGGGTGCGCAGTTTGAACCGTGAACCATCAGAACCCATGACACGACTCGCGGTCGCATAGACCCGTTGCTTGAGCATTCGCACTGCAAAGTTAGAGATAGGTTGATTCTGCTCCTCCTCTTCTGCTGCCTGCCTCAGGTCTTCTACGGTGAGTGACGAAAATATGTTTGCATCGCGCGCAAAGTCCTTCATTCTCATCTGTATTCGGGCAGACAGCAGTGCTTGACGGCGTTGTAGGATCGAACAGGCCACAAATGGGAAGGTGGGATGCTTGCGGAAGCGATGATCATTCTGCTCTAGAAGGTAACGGATATGATCTGCCAATGAAAGCGCCACAGGACGTCGTCGTTCAGGTCCCCCAACACCATATGGGAATAGCATAGGGAAAGCACGTTCCCAGAAGTTGTTCGGGCCCCCTTCTGTTGCATTCAGCGCAGGAAAGTCCGAAACTGGTTTTCTTCCATGTTGAACGACATATCCTCCCTCTTTGCCCTCCCTCCACAAATTGACCAGACCCCGCAGGAGCATATCATGAGAGCTGACCTCGGTCAAGTCAGTATCAATCACTCCCAAGTATTGCATGGGAATGACATTCGGCCGTGCCGCATTATCCGTCAAGTCTGCTGATTCGCTGCCTGGCAAGTCCGAGACCGAAAGGCTAGTCTTCGCGGCAGCAGATCCATCAGCGGATCCATCTGCTCTGTACATCAGCATTCCTGTATGTATCATGACATTCAAAATGACACTTACCGATATGCAGATCATCAACATCAATATCCATTTCGTCACTTTCCCTGGTCCCATCTTCCCCTGTGGGTATGTATCCTGCCCGCTCCTGCTCTAGTACCTCCTCTCTGCATTCCTCCCTGACCAGGCTCCATATCTCCACAGGAACATCATCCTCAGGAAGCAGCTCTAGACGTGCATTTTCGATGCAGATGTCCTCGTAGTAAGGATTATTTGCCTTCAACCAACGAAGGGCTTCACCAACATGGTGGCGTCGCACGCGGAACGTTGAGTGTAGCCAAGACTTCGGTAACTTTCCCAACCCGACATAAGTTACAGATATTAACTCCGCAAGCACGCGCGGTTGCTGAGGCATCAACCTGCCATCGATCATATCTGCAATGCGATCCATATTGAATTCGAACGTCGTGACATTTCCTGCAAGAGCTGACTGCAAACTATTGGGATCAAACCCTCCCCGTCTATCCTTCGGGAATAGCTTCACAATGTACGCGCGAGGGTATAGACGTCCGATCAGCAATTGCTCAGGGAATGTCAAGCATTGTAGTTGCCAGGGAGGTGTTCCAGTCCAAAGTCCATTCGCAAGGGCGTAAATTGGGGGGCAATTCGAATTGGGATTGCCCTTGCGTAACTCGGACAAACACTGATTACAGACTGCAATTGTGGGGTCCTCCTGATTACGAGAGAAGTCGCATGCATCTCGGAGAAGAAGGAGGCCGTTAGTTAATTCCATTGCGTTTGCAGCTGCACTCTCCCAGTGGATGCCAAGTCCATCGAAATCAGGACGCAGTCGGTGAGGGTTCGGTAGCGTAGACAATGGCATAAAGCTGATCTCGCACTCTGAGCGCATTCGTTTGCGTGCACAGACTGCACAGGTATAGTGCCGAACAGCACTGTTTGAAGTTGCGCTATAGAACGAACGATACAGCTGGAATAGTTCCTCCCGACTGGGCAACTCCAGGAAACGACTCGACGTGTGATAGGTAGTGTCTGTATCTGCCGCGCCACTAGCAGAACATTGGTTTGGAGACATTTTGGAATGTATGTTATGGTGTACTAGTCGTGATTGGGTGCGTTCTTGAATATGTTCTCGACGACTCTCGCGTTCCCGTTGACGTTTCTGACGGCGTGCCTCATTCCGATTCGACCTTTGCTGCTCTTTGCGTGCCCGCTTCTCTTGTTCTTTGTTTGCCAATGCACTCCGCAATGCATCTATGGCGTCGGGACGCTCAGCAAGGATTATTTCGAGCAAAGATGTCTTATTACGCTTGAGTTTACTACCAACATTCAACCCAAGCCTCGAGACTGCCTGAGCAATCTCTTCAGCAGTCAAACGTGTTCGCAATCGGGTTTTTTCCGCTTCGTCGACAGCATGAACACTTGACTGATTGAAGTTCATCTTTAGATATTGAGGCTGTACTCACGAAGGACAGAGCCACGCACCATGGTTCCGAGTCACCAGTCTTATACCTCAACCCTTCATGTATCATTCACCAGTGTGGGGCTTGAAATTGTACCAACAACTGACAGCCGCAAGCTGGTACAGACTCGGACGACTCAACAAGTGCAGCGTGAAAGTGACCAGCATGCACTTCAGTATGTCAACATCCTGGTCTGTCAGTGCTGACTAACTCAGAACAGTGCTTGCAATGGGTGAGTAAGTTCGTCATTCAGTGGCAGTTACGCTTGGCGGCGGGCCGTTCACTCGCAGTTGCGCTCGCTGCGCTAGAAGTGTTTGCGCGGGATTCCCGATGTCGGACTGCCCGCCCATTGGACGTCAGACCTCAGTGCGGCGGCAGGCATACGCAAGCCCTAGACAACTAGAACGTTCTCGTAGCCCCTCGCACTCAGGTTGAACATGGCTGACAAGTCGCGCCCCAATCACGCCTGTGCACCCACTCGTGCACGGACCACTATGCCAGTATAAATTGAGACCTCTCTGGTTTCTTGTATCCTTGTCGTCAGCAATCCGTCCTATTCTGTCACCCCTTCTTTGCTTTTCTCGCGTGGTATCCCTCTCACTCGAATCAGCACTTCTGACTCATTTGAACCATGCAGGCTCGCATTAAAGGTATCACTGAGGACCCCTACTACATTGCCTCTCCCAATCTTCTCTCTCGATTGGAATGGCGACGTGCTCCCGGTGGGGTAAGCAAGCTTTTCCCCAAGGTTCCTAAATCCGAACCAGACTCGGAGGAAGAGCCCAAGGTATGCAACTTGTTGGGTTATCAACATGTGATCGTGATACAATGCTTACCCATTTCTTTGTAGCTTCGCGAACCTGCTGAGCTCAGGTTCTTTGGTGTTGTCGATGATTCGCCGGTTAACTTTTATCTGCTCCCTGATGGTGGTTGGTCGCCGAAGAGCCGTAGTGCCTTCCATGCTCAAAAGGCCACTGCGGTCATTCAGCCTCCTGACGAGGATGAACCAGGGGCTGATCATTGGCCGTCCATTGCCAAGGCCGCACTTGAGATTATGCGGTCGAAGAAAACCCCAGGCGCCGGAATGGGTTACGGTCTTGGTAAGAATGGCGGTCTAAAGGTTCGACATGCTCTATTTCAGGTACGTTCAAACCTACTATCACTTGTCAGCACATAATATACTGATTTATTAACCGTAGCGCATTGAGCCTGCTAATGACTCTGGCAGCAATGATGAGAACATAGTAGGCACTGGCAAGCCTAGTACCGGTGAAGACAATAATAGTATGTCTCATCCTGCATTGCTGTTTTATGAGTAAAATATTGACACTGAAATGAGCAGGCGGCCGGGGGTCCCAAAGCTCTAACGTGCTTGATGATGGGCAGCTCTTATTGGCAAACTGGCCGACCACTTCGCCAGAGGCCAAGGCACAGTTGGAGTGCCTTATATCGGAGGGTAAATGGGAAGCAAACCCACTGGCTGCGTACGATCGTCATGGCAATCTCATCCATCCAACTGAGTATGGAGCACTGTTACGTGGTGCATTTGTGGAGGTCAAGGTGCACATCGTCCACCAGCACATTGCTCAGAGCAACACCAACAATTACTATGCGGACATCCAAGAGATGAGGATCATCATGGACAAGCCTCTGTGTTCATATACTCCAATCAAGAAGCGCATTCGCGAGGAGCTGACCAGGGCTAGTCGGAAGAGAATGCGCACGGAACACTAATTTTCTTCCCTCTCGTCGACATTAATTTTGCAGCATAACCTACATAGTATTGTACATATTGCCTTCATTTGAATCACGCTCCTTAAGTTGAATACAATCCTATACTGTTGTTTGTCTTGTTTTGCCAGTGCATGCGGTCGTCGATGAGCTTAAAGTTATAATGAATTGCGGCTTGTTTGAGAGAGGGAATACTATTTGGATGGATGAGTCACCTGATACCAATGGTATCTCCGAGCCAGGAACCGCCGGCGAAGCGGCCTTTTCGAGTACCAAATTCGCCTTGAAATTGGCGCTTACATACTGCGTCTTGAGTTGATGATGTTTTGGTGAGTTCGAGCCGCATTGACCTCATTGGCCCGGCGTACAAAAGACTACTGACCTGGAAAGTAGGAACTTCGTATTGGGAAAGTGAGTACGGGATACATGATCAATCATTATGTGGTTCTTTGGAGGGAAAAAGAAAAAGATTGCTCCCAGTGAGGCTCGAACTCACGACCTTAGGATTTCAGCTTGCACAAGCTGTCATATCATGTGATATGAGACCTACGCTCTACCGGCTGAGCCATGGAAGCTTACTAACATAAAAGTAACATGCTATACGTACAGTTCTGCATTGCCTCTAGTGCGTCATTCAGGCTCTATTCCTGGCTTTCTGCAAGTTACTAGCAACTGCCATACCTCGAACTCGTAATTCTGCTTCCACGTTCACTTCTCTTATTGACGGACACTGCTTCTTTATTCAACAGCACGCAAATGTCTATGCTAGACAAGTTCAGAAAGGGGGCCCAGAAGGCGGGGCTCCAGGCAACCGCTTTCCTGAAGGAGAGCTCGAACAAGATCGCCACTGAATCGCGGGACTTTGCACAGGGTTTCAGCTTGCCTGGGGAAGCGGAGAAGGCTGCAAAGATTCTTGAAAGCTTCCTAGGTGCGTGCGGTACCGCCCTATTTTAGGTTCCCCTGACTTGACAGTGTATTCGTAGCCGATCCCGATCATCCAGAGTCTGCCCTCAATGCGATACCCAAAGCGGTCCTCCAACGAGCAAGAGGTTTGCAATGTAACCCATAGTTGTCCGTATGCATACTGATACGAATGCTTTAGGTCTTGCCATCTTCTCCGTTCTCAAAGCAGGATTCATGTTCTCCGGCAAAGCCGGCTCGGGCCTCGTAATTGCACGTCTCCCGGACGGCTCCTGGTCGGCCCCCTCCTGTATCGCAACAGGGGGCGTAGGTTGGGGCCTGCAGATCGGTGCAGACATCACCGACTTTGTCATTGTCCTCAACAGCGAAGATGCTGTGCGTGCATTCTCAATGGGCGGTAATGTCACCATCGGGGGGAACATCAGTGCGGCGGCTGGTCCCATTGGGACTGGTGGTAGTGTACAGGCTTCGTTGGCACACCCCGCTCCTATGTTCTCGTACTCGAAGTCGAAAGGTACGTTATTCCGCCTCTTGATTGATGGAACATGCGCTCATTCGGTTGCGATCCTCCGCAGGATTGTTCGCCGGTCTGTCACTCGAGGGCACAGTACTCATCGAACGGAAGGACGCCAATCGTGACTTCTACGGGTCTCCTGTCCCCGCTCGCGATATTCTGAGCGGTCGTGTACCGCCTCCGGAAGTTGCCTCTCGATTATACGAGGTAATCGAAGCAGCGGAAGGTGTTGATGAATCTGGTCTTCCAGAGCATGCATACGTTCCGACTGTTACTGGCGAACATATGGAAGTCCGGCCTGGAGGCACCGTATTCGACGCGGAGGCGCATTGAGATGCAATGACCTAATATGAGCGGCGGAAACCACGATTTACACTATATAGTGATACCGATACCATACTTGACTCGCTTTCTCTGTCTATGATTTGAAGGATGGCTTGTTCTCTTGTACAATAGTTACGATTGCTATTTTACCTATTTCCCGGAAGTGGTCTGCAGTGCGCACATGGTCCATATGTTAGAATGCGATGTATAACTATATTCTATACAGAATCTCTAAAGTACAGAATCCAAGATCCATAAGATACCAAAGGAAACCATCGTCGCCGAATGTTCCGCGCAACCAATGCCATACTCAAAAGTAGGCGTCCCAGAAACCCTTCGTCCCATTCGTCTTCGCAGCATGCCTCTCAATTCCGAGCAACCTCATCATCAGGTTGTAGATCTCGACATTCTCGAAGGTGTCCATGACATATGTATCGTCGGAAGTAGAGTGCCAGCCCTTGCTTGACTGAAACAACCGACGAGGGAGAATGGACGATTCAGAGCGAGCTTTGTGGACAGCTTTCACCACAGTAGAGAATGGACCGTGAGCTACGAACATGGCGTGCATCGATGGCTCGTCGTTGTCATAGCCATGATTCTATATTCGAAGCCAACAATCAGCTATCATTAGAAAATGGAACAGATCCCGGACTTACACCCTTGCTCATACCGGTCCCATTCTCGATACGATTGGTGAGCGCATACCCCACTCTGGGTATGACATAGATCGGCGCAATGCGATCGTTGTTCGCAAAATGATATCTCTCGGGCATTGTTTCATGTGTATAGACATCAAACTTCCCACCACTTTCCTTCGCAGCCTTGAGGAGAACCTCAAGATAATGCGACGCATTGGCTTTCTCCGAGAATCGGATACCCATCGAAGGCCAACCTGTTTGAGACGATATGATGTGTTTGATATACAATTCGGATACACAGGAATGAATGCAATGGTATGAAATGAGAAGAACGCACCATCCTCATGTTCAATAAGGTCGAATCCGTCGCCAAGGATATCGTCAATGTAGATCCATTCTGGATGGCTCGTATCAGTCATGCCGTGATCACTGACAAACACAACGTCAACGATGTCCGTCAAGTTCCGCGCCTCGAGGGAATCATGGATATCCTTTGCGAATTGGTCGACGTAACCAAGGACACGCTGTACAGAGAAAATGGTTGAGTCTCAGGCTGTGTATTAGACTAACGGCTGTCCTTACGTTGACAAGGTCAGATGTGGGACCTGCCCGGTGACCTGCTTGGTCTAGAGAGGGCTCGTATGCTACAGGTCTTCAGTATCGTGTCCTGTATTGCTCATAATTAAAGCGTACCCATGATGAGCTGAGGTCTATCCTGGAGAGGCAAGTCGATCCATCGCATGATCTGATCATGCTTCTCTTTCAGAGGTACCTTATCCTACAGCAGGGATGCACTTCAGTGCGTATAGCTGGGAATAGCCGTGTCTGTGCTTACTCTCCATGGAATGAAATATGAAGGCGAGGCACCAGATGAAGTCACCGGCGGACCTGGCCTGAGTTGTGTGTTAGGTTGAAACCAATGGTACCACAGCCCAAACCTCACATACCACATGAGATTGGCGGTAGTCAAACCAGACCTCTCTGCGGTTTCCCACATCTGATGTTGCATGACAGGTTTATATCAAGCATCTGTCATTGCATTGTGATACTTACCGGTTCGCCGAACCACCATGAAGAGTTCCATGAAGAGGAAGCTCGGTTATAGTGAAATTCTTGGCCCGAATTCGGGTCCCAGAAGTTCTATGTCTACGTCAATATCGGAAGCGATGATGATACATACCTCAGGGAACTCACATTCGCTACAATGCCATGCGATTCTGCATATAGACCAGTCCTTCGAGATGTCAATATGCGGCGATTTGCGGCGACTGGGCACTACTCACATCAAGGCCCAATGATTGCTAGCGCAGAGGGAGTTGTTAATACGTTTCCGCCACAGCACTTGCGAAGGACCGACACTTACGGAAATGTCAAGGTCTAGGAAAGGCAGCGTAGGTTCAGTCATACTGGGGCAATGCATACGTTACATGGTTCAATTGTAAATTCACGCACAGGGAATACCGGCTTCATAGACTTTGCTCTAAGACCCTTCTTGCTTATCGCAAGAAGATGAGGAGTCAGACCTCTATCCAGGTAGTCCGCACTGCAGAACCCATTTGAATTACGTAAGCACGACATTCCAGCAACGTAACAATTTCGCTGTACATACCGCAAGCCATCAATGGACACAATGAGGGAGGTCTTCTTAAAGTAGTGTGTCCCGTTACTTCGTAACCGTCTGGGGTCAAAGTCTTCGTGAGGTGGCCGAGGCTTTAGAGCAGAGTACAGTGGTGGTCCGAATACAGCACCAAGTATCAGGAGTATAAGCACAGCAGCAATACCAGAGAGAGTCTTCTTCGACTTCCACCGAGGTTCTGGGATCTCAATTCCCTCATTGTCCTCCCCTGATAGCAAGCCCCGTCGTTCCTCGTCAGAAGGATTGCCTACAGGGATGCCATCGTTAGGTCGCTTCGACGTTGGTGCTTTCTGCGCTACCATTAGGCTTTCTTGCAGCACTCTATACCAGACCAGATGCAATTGCCGTTAGAACAATGATGAGAGCGTTGAGTAGTGGTCGATAAGGTCGAATGTCGAATTCACGGTGTTGACAAGCAACTGAGGCTAGCGCCGCACTGAGCCACGAGTGGGCCCCTAGCGCCGATCCCGGCATATGCCGCATTACGTACTGATGATTGCCTGTAAACGGAAGGTATTGTAGTTCAAAACTTCAAGTTCTCTTTTGGCCTCCGTTCGCAACGCCACTCAGGCTGCCATACCATCTCTTTCTCTCTTTCATCCAAGAAGGACGAACTACGCTTCACATTTCCCGTTAGAGGTATATCAACTACTGCAAACATCTTTACTTATTTTTCGTTTCTATCATTAGCATACAAACCCTTGCTCTTACATCAACAAGCTATCAAGTTCCTAACTTCCAAGGTTCCGGCAGACAATCTTTAGTACGTTCAACTAGTACCTCCCACGAGCATTTTCTCAGACAAACATTCTAGAATATGACCAGTGCACTTCTTGCAGCACCACTACATCGCGGTATTTCAGCACTTCCTGTCGAGTTGCTCGTTGCCATCTTCGACAATTACGTCGCGGAATCCTCGTCCGAAATCTATCGCCCAGAAGATACCCTATATCATGCCAAACTAAAGGGCCAGCTCTTATTCTTACTCTGCCGTGTTTGCCGTCGCTGGTCCGACATAGTCAGAGGTCGCTCTGCATATTGGACAACGATATCTACAGGACAAACACTACCCGGCCTGTTTGCAGCCATCACACATTCAGGCTGGTTGCCTCTCACCGCAGCCATTGTCTGGACCGACTCCATAGAAAGCGACAATTTCTTGGAGAAACAGCGAACCAAAGCTCTCATGATCTTGGACGAGCTCCCTCGCATTCGTAAACTTGATTTCCATGTCCCCCTTCCTATCATCAAGGAAATTCGAGACTATTTCGACGAACAACTAATACCCGCCCCGAACCTCGAGGAGTTGTCGCTCAAGAATACCGAGGATTGGCGTTGCAAGGAGAAATTTCCGGATCTCCTATCATTTCTCTACGAATCGCCCAACCTTCGCAAGCTAGAGATCTTAGACATGTCCATCAGAACGGCTCAGCGATTCTTCAGGCCGAATTTGCGGAGCCTGGTCATCGATGCACACAACCCTTCCGTCACAGTATACGACCTTTTGGACATAGTTGCAGAGATGCCTTTGCTGGTTGAACT